ACGACGACCACCACGACCACAACGACGACGACCACAACCACAACTACCACAACAACGACAACTGCAGGGCACCTTTTTTAACAAGATGAGTGGTGGTTTTGTGGTTTTGCATGAGTGACTGACTGCTGTATTGAATGACTATTGCACTGCAGGACCTGATCTTCCGCAGAAGCCGTACTCACGCGGTCCGAGGCCTTCCACCGACCCGAGCATTCCGGAAGTCAACCTGGCCCTGGAGCGGCGCACAGACGCTTGGACAAACTTTGTCGAAGCCTACAAAGCCGTGTGTAGATGAGAAAGCCACCCAGGAAGCTTCCAGCGAAGCGCCAACTTTCACCTCCCAGTGGGCCGTGGACGGCTTGTGGCCTGGTGAAAGACTCAACTCTGCGGGTTGTATTTTGCGAAGTACTTAGGTTGTTTAGAGTTCGGGATCCGGTTCTCCAACCCCCAAAAGCTGAAACCCTAACCCTCTACACCCGCACTGGGATGGTCAGTCGAGATCTGTGACACTCAGGTTTGCCACGCGGTGGAGCCCGGCAGAAGAGGTTCCACCCGAGTTTCTGTCACGGGCTGACACAGCAAACACTGGAAATCACTAGGCAGTGTTGGCTCTGCCTAAAGGCTTCGTTCCCTTAGCAGCAATTCGGGATCACATGCAGCCTCGATGGAAGGATGTGGCTCCATGGATAGCGGTCGAGCTGGATGGCATCTACCAGCTGTCCCACATTGTGGCTGAGCTGCCAAGATCACTCACCTGTGCTTAGGGACCAGACCAGGGCTGTCTCTGCAAATTCTGCTCTGCAGGTCGTTGTGTGGCTTCAGTTCTACCCAGCCAGCTATGAGATCCAAACCAAGGCAAAGGACACGCACATGTCGCTGTGTTTGATTCAAGCGGGTTGGGTGAGCATGACCAGGAGGAAGCACAGTGTCATCGTCAATGCATATTGGCATTGGCTTGTCATAATGCCACGCTATCGGATGTCAGGCACTTTTTTCCTTGCAGCCGCGTAGCCTGTTCAACAGATCCTAGCAGACGTCCTCGGCGCTCTCCGAAGTGCCGGCTCGCTAGAATCGCCTGAAGCCGAAGCTGTGCTCAGGGGAGCGGGGACACCTGGGTGACCCTGGCAACGGAAGTGGGCCGTGCCGGTGCGGTGAAGACCGACCTGCAAGGCCGCACAGACTTCTCTTCGGAAGCCCTCGCCCACTGCACTCGTCCCATCTGTCAGGGCCAGGGCGGCAAGTGCCGAAATCACATCAGGTTTTTGAATGTCAGCACAGACCCTCAGGGACACTCAAGCTCAGAATCTTACCCCCTGGCATTCACGGGGGAAACCCCAAGTTGTTGACAGCGCCTTTCGCGTGCGTCCTACTTCCTATCCCCAAATTCCGTACCACCGAACGAGCTGACCTAGCAGCAGCGCTGACGGACTCACACGTCAACTACAGTGTAAACTGTTGAATTAAACTGCAGACATTCAACACTTAGAGAGCTGCCCCTGTGCTAGACGAGACCTTTGTGCGAACCCTCCCTGAACCCTTGCAGGCTCTGTCAACTGGCTCCGCTTGCTTTGCCACGGCGGCTCGGAGCTTCGGGTTTTCGAGCGCGCCGGCTGAAGCAGGGGCTCCCCAATTTCTTCGACGAAAGCCCACGAACGCCCACGAAAGCCAAGCTCGAGAACCCAAAGCTCAAGGTTCCAGGTCTACGGTACGCTGGACACGGCGACGACCACCACGGAGCTGGTTGAGACAGGCAGGGCAGAGCAGGGCAGAGCCCGGCAGCGCCCAAACGCGCTTCGATCGCTGAAATTCCTCTTTTTCTTCTGTCTTTTTGAGCTCCTCCGGTGCCTCCTGACCAATGAGGGTCACAGAATCAGCAAGCACCTTCCCGGCTACTACTGTGCTTGCCTCTGGTGGCCATAAGCCCGCTGTCAGGCACTTCCACCACGACAACCACGCCCTTCGACGGCCTGAACCTCGCTCAGGGCAAGCCAGTGCCTCCCAGCCGAATCGCCTCTGACCTTCCGGATTCGACTCGTGTGCACAACGTGCCGACTTGGTGGTATTAGTGCTGCTCAGGCCTTCGAGGTTGGGCGGCCCACGTTTCTGACCTCTGAGGCTTGCTTCTTCTTTCCGTTCGCCTACGGAGCATGCCTACCGCGCAGTTGCTGCTTTGCATGCATGCAGAGACTGCAACGAGCTTCTTCCTAGTGTGTCTTCCCCTTTGCTGCCTCGTGGACTGCCATGCCAACAGCCGGATGAAGATGGGCCCTGGCCCGACAGGGTCACTGCACAGCATCCCGAGGACGGCATGCTTGAAACGCACTGGGCCTCCGCCCTTGCACCGGAGCAGTGGATCTGGGTGGATCTGCACCTCGTCTGTCTAGGTCTAGTCTAGTCCTGATCTGTACAAGCTGGCATTATGATAATTACATTCTTGTTCTGAGGGTCACCTGGCCAATATGCGCTCTTTATTCAGAGAAAGAGAAGCTTCGCTTTCAGTTCTGTCCAGCATGGCTCTGGCTTGACATGATTTGCAATGTTAGCCGTTCGTCGCCCCATGAACTTCCAGTGCAGAGCAAATCAAAACCTTGGCCCTTGCATTGGTTCTTTGGAGCCGTCTTTTTCTTTTTGCAGGACCCTCAGCTCAGACAGAGGCTGTTCAAAAGTTGGGGTAATTGCCCCTGCAAGGTCGGAGAAGTGTTCCGAGATCCCTGCGAATTGGAAATGCGCAGTGGCCTACGACGCCCGAAACCCCCAAAGCCCCTAAACCCCCTAAACCCCTAGACCCTAAATAGTCTTGCCTCAGCTCTCCCTACAAGGCTGGGCGCCTACGACCTCACTTCGGTACTCGTTCTCTGGGGCTCGGACTTCCCGGGCAACTCGGCACTGACCCTTCGGAGTTCATGCTTTGAGGAGTTCGCTGAAATGAGGGAGGAGTTCCTGGTGCTATTTCTACGAGGGTGGTCCACTCACTGTATGAAATCTGGAGAACAAGCCGCTCCGGGCATGTTGAGTCATCAGCCGTTGTTCGCTCTCCGCAAGTTGATGGAGCAACAAGAACCGAAGAGCCTAGAACCCTTGTTCTGGCTTGAGGCCAATATTCCATCCAGACAGCTCCCAATGGCATCGACTGGACGACAGCTGCTGTGGACTCGGGTCCTGATTTGAGAAGCGAAGCACTTGACGAGGCTTTCAGGCAGCGTTGTATTCGGGGGTGTTTCGGAGGTGCAGCGTCAAGCTTCCGCGGTGGTTCAACACGCATAATTGACGAAGGGCTCAGTGGCGAACGCTGGTGCTTGAGCGAATCCCCTTCGTACAACTTTCGCAGCAACCGCTGTAGGGCCTCTTCGCTTTCCTGTGGAAAGTCAGCAAGATGTCACTGAAACATGGTGCGAAGGAGACGGGCATGGCGGGCGCCGTCCGCACCACCTTTCCGGAGCAAGTCACAGGCCCTGTCGAAGTCCAAGAGAGAGACCCAGTGACCTGCAATGCTCCCGCTTGCTTCAAGCCTCACTAGAAGCTTGAAGCTGACGGAGTCATAAAAGGCCCCAAGGCAAAGGACCCTCCCTGCTCTCGTTCGACGCAGGGCAGTGGATCCGAATCCTTTGCCACTCCAACACAGGCCGACGGGCTGAGAGAAACTCGCCGGAGTCCGACCGCAGAGAAGCCCACATTTCAGCGAGGGAGCTTCAGGCTTTCTGTTGTCCAGAAGGAGAAGGCCTCACTGAAGACCCATCTTTTGCAGGTTGCGGCAGCATCGACGAGCTGCGCATCTTCGGGGCGGATCCCAGCTCGCTGGCCGCAGGTTTATGCGCAGTTCACAGGGTCGGACAAGGATGTGACGGTTCATCGGGTTTTGCTTGACATTTTCAAGATGAGAAAAGTGCTGCTTTTTCAGCAGCGGACTCCCCGGGACCATTAGAGTCGCCGAAAAGGAGCTAAAGGTCGATGAAGGGCCATGCAGCGCAGAAGCGATGCTATGCGCCTTGCACTGAGCCCCGAAGCATCCAGGCTTCCTCTCCACAACGGTCACAACGACGCAGCCAGGAGCCCTTTAAGCCAGCGATGGAGTTTCTGCGACTACTTGTACCAGAGGAAGCTTTCGGTTTCCATCGGACAAGTGAAAAACTGCCTCCCGCTCTCTTCAGGAGCTTCGGCGAGCACGACTCCCAGCACCAGCGAAGGTGCCACGACGATCACCACGGAAGGTTCCACCACAAGCACCAGTGCAGCGACAACAGGCGGCTCATCTGGAGAGTTTGACGGAAGTGTGGGTTTTGGAGCCCGTCGCTTCGGCGACGCATAGAGATGGCATTGCCAAGGCCTTCTCTAAGCTGGTTAGTGGCGTGGTCTCGTGTCTGAGGTTCTCGACCGGGAGCTGTGAACCTGGCCCTGAACAAGCCTGCCCTCGCTTCGACGGGACTCTTTTTTGCCAAGGGCTGCTTCCATGCCCTAACCAGACGCCGCGTCGAATGCGTTGACAGAGTGTCCGCTTGAAACTCAGGGAACATGCAGGTCAAGTGGTGTTGAGGAAGCGGGGTGGAATTGTGCTTGCAATGCTTGTGCTTACGCTGCGCGACTCGTCCTGGGGGCGAGAGTTCTCGTTACAGCTGATAGCACAGGGAGTGGAAGCCGTAGAGAGCTCAGTGTATCGGAATTCTGTGCTTGACTGTTGAGTGTGCAAAGCACAGCCCGGATACACAGGACTGTTCCAGACACGGGCTGTGGATGGCTCGCTGACAACCCAGTGGCTCGGACCCTCATACGAGCTTCGGGCATTTCCCCATCACTCATCCGTTGAGGAGCATTGACAAGTTTTAGGGCCTGCAGCTTCTACGGTGTGGGGTGCCTGCGCAAGTGACTAGGTAGGTGCCAAGGTCGTCGTAAACAGCAGGAGAACACACGACTTAGCCGCAGACGCATCAGTTACTTCAGTTTTGTCAGAGGTGTGATGCGAGAGCGGGGCTTTGAACCACAGAAGTTTGAACAATGAAAGTTGATGAAAGTTGCTTTATGCCATGTGCAGTGTTTCTGTTACATTCGACACCGCCTACTCCCCCGCTTCGGTGATGCGAGACCTCCCGCAACGATGTGCTGTGATAGAGCAGTCGGAATTTGATACTGTCTTCTGGAGCGGCAGCCATGCAGCACTGATGTTCCGAATGTTGGAAAGAACACGTGCAGCAGTGTGGGGTGGCAAACAGTCTCCCCGCGGTTTCCGTAGGTGGTCATCGCTGCCCGGAGACCAGACACCGTGGCTTTGGGTGGACCTTCGTGGACCCTTGGCCTGGTCTGCAGTGCGAGCAGCCGGTGCCGTGATAGCTCTTGATGCGAAGTGAGAGCGGGCAGGGGTGGGGTTTCCTGCTCACGTCGTCAGGGTGATTTTTTGCCCCCTGCTGAGCTGCATCTCAGTGTCTGCCGAGAAGGTCGGTGCTGGATCAGGCATGTTTGGCACTGCGGAAGCCACCCCGGCTGCTAAGGACGCCATGATGTCTCTGAAGTGGTGATCTCGTGGGCATCAGAGTTTCCTGCGGAGTTCCGCCTGGAGGTTTCTTGGCCCGGCTTGGAATTGGAGGCTCTCGTTCAGTCGTCCAGCTTCATACCAGGACTCGATCGCAGAAGGCCCGGTAAGATACCGTGTGCCACCACGGGACATTCCTCACAACCTCCGGCCGTCAGGTCGCGTGAAACAGTCTGCAATGAAGGGCCATTTAAATTTTGCCTTCCAGGAAGCTTGGTTTGCTCGCACAGAAGGGTCTGGACGAATCCGAGGCTTCAAACCGATAGCGTCGTGTGACTGCAGTATGAGTTTGGATGCTTGTAAGGAGCGCAGAAGTGCCAGTGGAAGGACCGTAATCTTGACAGACCTAGACTGTAAACCATAGACCTGCGACAAGGCTGGATACAGCGCGGCTCATTGGACCCCTGTGATCACGGCAGCAGGGCAGGCCAACAGCGAGGTGCCAGGAGTTCTGCTGGGGTTCGGCCTTCTTATTTCTTGTTGAAGCTCTTGGGTTCGGGGGTTAGTCGACGTTCTGCAGGTGCGGGTGGTCTTCAACCCGGTGAACTTGCAGTTCCTGCGTGTGCTTTGTCTCTCGGCCCAGCCATGAGCCATCCTGCACAACAGCTCCAGCATGGCTTTTGCCCTCTTTTTCCAGAAGCGAAGGCCTGAAAGACTTCCAAGATCCTTCGAAGGTATGGACCTGGGTTCTTCGAGCGGCTGCAGCATTCGGGAGCTCGAGGTGGGAAGTGAAGACGCTGCGAGGTTTAGCAGGGATTTGAGGCTTAGGGTTAAGGCCAGCTGAAGTTTAGGGTTTACAGAGTGTTAGACCCTCGGTTGTTGGCCCGGCGATGGCTGCTGATTACGATGAGGCGCCGGTGAAGTCGTTTTAAGAGGCCATAAAGATCCCCAGTGAGCGGAATTGCTTTGTTCTCACCGTTGAGTGATATGGTTTGATGAGTTTGCGCTGACACAACGCAGCGAAAGCTGCATGTCAAATCCGAACACAGAAATCCAAGTTAATGCCTGTATCCCGAACCCTTCTGTTCTTAAGCGAGGTGTTTAACTCCGGCCCACCGGAGACCACTTCCACCTCCAGTACCACGCAGAGCACGAGTGTGCTCTCGTCTGTGTTCGGTAGTTTGTTGGGTTTATGGCGTCTTGCAATTGCATGAAGACTGCGCGGTGTAGGCTTTTGGCGACTTCTTACACTGCATTCCTCTGATCAAGTGTCATGGGCTGAAACATCTGTTATCGTGAGTCTGCTTCGGTATGGAAGCTCTGCTGGATCTTCCAACAACATGCCGGTTGCTGCCTGTGTGGCCGTCTGCGTTCCACTTAGTGTTACGGCGTAGCGGTCCCATATCCTCGACCGGCTTCATCTAGTTGAATGAAGGGTTGCTGCTTCGCAGACTCAGCCGAAGGGAAGTGATAAACATCTCACAACATACATTCACTCGCCTGACTACGGGGTCTCCCCTACAGCACAACTGAAGATGAGGGCCCGAACTGGCTGAAGCAACAGGGGAAGATGCGCAGAGATTCTGGGTGTTTGAGGGAGCCCAGGCCGCAACTACTGGATCCAGCTCCGTCACGGTGGAAGCCACAACCACCGGCACTACCACGACTCCCAATTCCACGGATTCTGGCTCCTGGGCTGGTTGCAAACTCCTGAGTGACATAGGCAGATGTCGAGTGCCGGCCCTGTGTCGATTCCTCAACCCGGAGATTTGTTAGACGAACGAATCAAAGAAGCTCCGACTGCGACTTTGGCGAATCTTGTTGTGTTAAGGTTCTGAGAACACTTCTACATCGACGATGACCGTCACCACCACTCTTGCTCCGAACGTTGCTGAGAGGAGAGGCTGCCACATCCATAGCTCTTGGGAGCTCACGATATGTCGAACGAAGATACGCAGAGTTAACCCCCCAACCATATGCTTACGAGAAGCTCGCATCTTAGAAGAGAAAGAGATCTGTGAATTCTCATGGCAGGAAGCCCATCCGTGCCTCGTCTCAGCGGTCGCCCACGGAGTACGCCGCGCGTGCGAACGATGGCGACGAGAGCACGCGCTGGGCCTCTGGGGGAGGCCCAACGGATCCTCGGCCTCAGCCTTGTGCTACAGGGAAGAGCTAGCTGCTACAGTGCTACTAGTTTACATAGATCTCTCAGCTGCGCCTCTTTCATGAAAAGCGGCTCCCAGGGGCAGGGCCAGGGGCAGGGGCAGGTCTGCACGATGACTACGAGCAGGCGCCACACGAGGATTCCGGTGAAAGCACCGAAAGGTGAGACCCGTCCCCGAAGCAATACTTTGACATCGACAGGCTGACGCTGGAGCTGTTTGCTGGCCCGGCCTCTGGCACTCGTCATCTGCCAGGCTTGCGGCATCTTCTGTGGATACGATCACTAACCTTTGCTCCCAGGCGTTGAGTATGTCAAAGCCATGTGCCGGGTACCCGGCGCTTGAGTCGTGCCAGGCCTCAAATCTTGCACCTCCATGGACATGGCTGAGGCTGGAAGATTGCAAGAGCATGGTGTTGTGTGCCGGGTACCTGGTTGCTTGCGGTGCATTGAGAGATGCAAGCCTCAGCAGTCCGTGGGGTTAGTAAAGTAGTTTCCTATGGATACGATCACACACCTTTGCCCCCAGGCCTTGCCTATGTCAGGGACAGTGCCGCCCCATGTGCCGGGTACCCGGCGCTTGAGTCGTGCCAGGCCTCAAACCTTGCACCTGCATGGACATGGCTGAGGCTGGAAGATTTCAAGAGCATGGTGTTGTGTGCCGGGTACCCGGCGCTTGTACTGCATTGAGATGCAAGCCTGAGCAGTCCACGGGACACGAGCGGATGATAGCAAGTCGACTACCGGTGCAGGTATCCTTCTTTTACCTGCGGCTGCGGATCCGGCTGCCCATCAGCTCACTGCAAGGCCACGAGCTTTGTCTAAACCAGTGCCATGCCCCTGCACTTGGAAGCAGCTGCCTTAGACAGTCCCAACGAACAAGTCAGTGCTGCAAACCATCACACATTCATGCAACTTATATCTCAGTAGCCAGGGCACGAACCCTTTCAGCCAGAACTTGAAGGGATATTCGGAGTACTTGCGGCCGTTTCTGACCGCATCCAACTGTCCTCGGCATTTGTTGGCTTTGATTCGGACAGCCCGACAAGCAAACGAAATACTCATCCGGGCTTCTCTTTAACTCCTTTATGTCTTGGTGAAGTTCCAGGATTGTCCGCTCTTGGTCATTGAAAGCTGATTTCACTTTCTGAAGCCTGAGTTGGACAATGCAAACACGACAGCCATGATTCTGGAACGCAGAAACGCTTCAAAGGAACTACCGTAGCAACTGCACCACATATAGGTGCTCCTCGATGTCTTCGAGGTAACTCACTGAAGGCGGACCTGAAGTAGGTCCAATGATCTGAAGAACTGTGGCAACATCCGAAGCAAAACCAACAGAAACATCCGTTCTGTACGCTGAGAGCCTCGCTATCGCTAGGTGTGTTTCCCCTGACGGGCTTGTTGTCCAGGGGCTGCTTCTATGACTCTTCCCTTTGCAGTCCGGGACTTTTAGGGGGTTTCGTGATTCAGAGTGTCGGGTTTGGCACTCCGGGGTTTGTGCGGTTTCTGAGGATTTTGACAGTAGGTGACCTGTGAGCCTTTGCAGTGATCAGGTCTATTTTAACAGATGGTTATTTAGGACTTCCCGCATCAGAACCTAGAGGCTTGAAATTTCCACCGGTTCGTGGTGATTCCGAGTCGCACTTGAGCTCCTACAGAGGTACCTATACCTGCATGATGCAGGGGGTCCCCAAGTTACAACTCGGGTTTCAGGGCGAATGTTCAGCTTGCTTACCTCTACCCTGAGCCCTAAACCCTAAAACCCTAAACCCTAAAACCCCAAAGCCCTCAACTCTAAACTCTGTAAACCCTGAGCCCGAAGCCCTAAAACCCACGCAGTTGCTGACGGATGGCGGCAAGATCGGTAACGACAAAATGACGCTGTGGACATTCTGGAGCACAGAGTTTGCAAAGGGCGCCGCCCTGCCTCCCAAGGCCCGCCAGTGCCCGTGCATTGCAGCGCTGCATTGCTGGAACACATGCTAGTGCATTTCATGACAGACTCTCATTGTGGATAATGATCCGCGGCCAGATTCCAATTCAGATTCGAGAGTTCATGGACATGCATAGTTGCTATGCTTGAGTATTCTTTACTAAATCACAATGTGCGTGGACAAGACAGTAATAGCAGGCACCAGTACGATCCACAATTCCATGCAGTCGGGCAATACTTTAACATTGGTTTCAGATTTTTGACGATGGAGCAGACGGGTCCGCCGCCGATGATCTTCTCGACAGTACAATCGCAGCAGCAACAGCGGCGAATGCAGGAGCTAGACCTGCAGGAGCGGCAGCTGCGATTGCCGGCTGTGGCCGAATCTCGACTCAAGTTCACGTGATGTTTTTTCTTTTTTGCATTCGTCGTCTCACAGCACGACTAAACCGCCGTCAACTTTCGGCTTGTTCTACCAAGGACCAGTTCGGCAACATCTGGCTGCAGGTAGATCCTCGACCGAACTACATGTTGCGCGTAATAGATGTCTTTCATGTTCAATACATTGCAATATTCACCGAAACCCTTCATTGAGCGATCCCTTTACTATCCAAGGCCGCACCTGCCATACCGCCTGCCATCTTGGCAAGGTGTCTGGGCGTAAACATTGAAATCTGTGTCGCTTTCGTATTAACTTGACCTCTCCTCCTAGACGATTCGACAGGTTCGACGTACTTCGACTCGCCGCCAGAGGCGGCGCGTAGAGGCATACTCCGAACTCTATTTATTTTGGCCCTTACATTGCTTTGTTGCTTGTAGTTGAAAAGAAAACAATGGTGCATGAAGCCGACGTTTGCCTTCAGTATCTTGAGCTGCTCTCCGGCTCTGTGGTGTGCCGCGTGCTTTGGGAATGGAACTCTCTCGTTGTTCTGTTCAGGCGACGGCGACGTCTTCGGGCGCCTCATCGCTGCTCAGGGCTGTAAGTGTGCCTTCGTGGCGTGACGCAGCTCAACAGACGCACCGTTCTATGTTACGAAGAGAGTTTCTGAGATGTGGGCTCCTCATTGCTGTGCTAGGCAGATGCTGGATCAAATTCGCATCTCGGTGCGCATCCAGGGTCGTCGAAGCGTCAAGCCTGTTGCCCACAAGGAACCGAGACTTCAAAACCCAAGCCCTGATGGTATAGCTAGCTGCAAAGATGAGGCTTCGTGGTGCAAGACTCTGGCTTCTTGATCCACCGCTTCGAGGCAAGCAGTTTGCATGGCATCGCAGGTAGGTGGACACTTCCTGTCACGGTCGTGGGCATCTGGCAAGAAGGAGGCTGGCACCCAATCAGCAACCGGCAGGTCATCCCTGAGATTGCCTCATGGCACAGCATATTGCATGCGTGTAGGTTTGCTGCATGTTCCATCTGCATGGGTGATGTTGTGACAGTCATGCAGTTGCTTTTTTTGGAAGATTCGATTGAGGATGCTCCAGATGATGCAGTTCCTGCCGAGACTGCTGGTGTTATGGCC